AAGGCAGCAAAAGCAGCAGGCAGCAAGTGACAAGCAGCAACAGCAGCAGCCTTGTTTATGTCCCTTACATCCTATCCAGGCTGCCCAAGCCTAGGGCAGGTAGCACTCACACCCAGGGTGAGGCAGCCTTAACCCTAGCATTGCACCATGAATCAATCCCAGCATCACACACTCTAGATCCAGCCACCTCTGTAAAGCTCCACCTATGGCCAAATGAAGCTTTGTGGGGGTGGGGAGGACATCTAGTTACAAGCCATGATGCACACATAGAAGCATAGAAAGCTGTTGCAGTCCTCATTGCTTGTCCCAGTGACAGGTGTCACCTTATCACACAATGCAGCCCGCCACCATCTCCGCACCCACCCTGGGCTTAGACCTGGCCCCTCCATCTGTGGGTGCCCTTCTGTGGCTCCTGGAGTGAACCTTGATCACTGCCCTCATTCAAAGCCATCACAGGAAGGCTGTTTCTGTTGTTCTACCCAGGGTGACAGGTCCTGAGAACAAGGTGCCAGCAGATGAAAAGAAAAGCAAGACAGACAAGAAAATCAAGAGAGGCAAAAGTCTGGGATCAGGGGGCTTACAGCCTCTTGGACTGCAACCCCGATTACCAACCTTAGTCACCTTTTATTGAGCGAGAACCAAGGGTCTAGCTAGTACAAATGGTCAGATACCAAACGTTTTAGTAATTAAAGGATAATCTTTCTCCAATTCTGCCTCTTATGCTGCTGGCAACAATACCCAGGTGGACCTCCCACACCCAGCACCACACTCACTCAGTTCAGCTGGGGGTTATAAGCTGACCACCTGTTATCAATCTGCTACAATCACAGTCCTTACTTCCCATTAATTTTTACAATGCATGGCAAGACTAAAAAATAGGGATCTCCTGCAATTCAAATATACCCTTATCTTCAGGTGAAAAGTTTCAGTTCAATTTTACAACAATAAACAAATCATTGTGTGTCCTCAGTGCTTTCTAATCAAAGAATGTCCTTCTCCACATTTTTCTAGACTCTCCACTAGGAAGCAGAAAATCCTTCTGTGGTCCCGTAGCACCGCCTTTGACTCTTTCTTGTTGCCCTTTTCTCAGCCTGCTTTCTGTGTGAGTCAGCCGTGCGCAGATGAGAGAAACCGTCTCAGCTGAATGTAACCTGCAGGCAGGAAAAACCTCAAACACTGCTGATTAGACTTGGAGGATTTATCTAATAAAGGGCAGTGAGAGCCCAATGTTTGTCCTGTGATAAGTTAGAAGTAAACTCAGTTATTAGGTGGATGGGAAGGGTAGTTGTTATGGTTTGTGTCTGTGTGTCCCCCCAAAGCCTCCTGCGGTCATGGGGCAGGCTTTTAGAGTTTGATTGATTATGGGTGTGAGAGCTACACCCACCCTGGGGTGGATAGTTTGCATATGTAAGGGAGAGGAAGAGGGTGTTTGAGGCCATTCCTTCCCCATTCCACCCTGGTGTGTGCTTGTTGCTTTGCTGTGTTCTGCGTCAGGAGCTGTAGCCCTCTGCCATGTGCCACTCTGCCTTGTAATCTGCCAAGTAAGGACTGAAACCTCCACGAACTGTAAGCAAAATAAACCTTTCCTTCCTTAATTTTGGGTGTCAGGTATTTTGTCCCAGCAATAAGAGAAAAGTAACCGAGACAGTAGTGCTATGGAACCCTGCTATGGATGTGTGCATTTTGATCTAATAGGCATTGCCTTAAATCTAGAACAGGATCAACAAACTGTCTGTAAAGACAACGGGAGTCAACATCTTAGGTTTTGTCGCTGCTCAGCTGCGCCATTGTCGTGACAGCAGCCAAAGCCAAAGTGGACCAAGAGCACGACTGTCTACTGCCCAAACTGGCATGGGCTACAGTTCCACAAGGCATCCGGGAGAGGTGACTAACCGGAGTCCAATCCAGACACTCGTTCTTGGACTTCTCTTGCGGCTTGGAGCAAGCTCCCTAACCCGCCTGTCTGTATGAACATCTAACAGTCCGGCATCTATTAAAGGGATCTGCAATTAACAAGCAGAGAAATGGTTGCCACACAGTGGGACAAGATCGAAATGACAGGACTAGAGGGCTGAAAGCCAGCAGGTGGTGGGGAGCAGCGGGGACAGTGGCGGGGCCCCTCTCAGGCACGGACTCCTCGTCAGGGCAGGCATCAGGTGCAGGCAGGCAGACAGCATCTCACACTCCTGCAGCCACAGCAGTCTATTAAGGAAAGACTGAACATTACTTAAGATGCCTGGAGCTGCAAGGATAGGGGGGTTAGGGGCCAGGATTCAGGAGGAATTATTGGTAAAACAAAGATTTAGACCTTTTCAGTTAGAACACACACACAAAATGCATCTCCCTCATGTAGGGGCCTCTTTGTATCCAAGCATTTCCCCCGACTGTGGGCAGCGGTGCTTCCCAGGCGCAGACCCTGTTGGCCTTTCCACTCAGTGTCCACGAGACCAGGGTCAGCCCTGGAGCAGCCCGCACAGCCCTAGCAGCGGGGTTCCCCATCCCTGCTAACTGGCCTGGCCCAGGCAAGGTGATTCTGCCAAATTGGTCACTTTGCTTGGTCAGGTCCCCAAACACTTCTCTCCTCCTGTGTTCCTTGTGCTTTTCCTACTCCAGTGCCTCCTTCTCTCCTTGATTCCCTCGGTTTTCTTTAGAAGCCCCTCCATCCACCCCACCCCACCCTCTACTGAGTGCCAAGCCTCGCCCTCCCTGACTGTCCCTCTTCTGTGCTCTACCTGTGCTGCCCTTCCCTCTGCCCCCAAGAGGGGCAAGCAGGAGGCCTGGGTTGGGGGCCCAGAGTCCTGACTGTCCTGGCTCCGCCATCACCCGCCATGCCCACTGCTCACTGTGGGGAAGGCTGCTTCCTGGTTCTGAATCCCAGCTTCCGCATGCATAGAACTAGAGAACTTCCTGTGCCTCAGAGAGTGTGAGAATGAATGGGGGTAAACATCAGGTGTGGTGGCACACGCCTGTAATCTCCACCTGCGGGAGGCTGAGACAGGAGGATCACCACAAATCTGAGGCCAGCCAGGGATATACAGTGAGTTCAAGGTTTAAGGCCAGCTTGAACTACTTGGAGAAAGAGAGAAAGAAAAATGAAACTGATTGAATACATGAAATGAAGAGGCCCTCCGAAGGCACCTGCCTGCCTGGAGCTCTGAAATCTGAACTGTCTGCAGGGTTTGGCCCACATTGCTCCCAGCGTTATAATAATTTGCAAGCAGGACTGTCCCAAACTGTGCCTTGATTAGTTGCAATGCCTAGCATAGTTTTTAAAAAACACTCAACAAATTCATTTGATTTATTTTTGACTTGTTCCTTAAAATCTCCATCAATGTGATGGAAGGAGGACTGGCATTATTTTTTTTTAAGTTTGGAAGGTGTTCATTAGCATGGATTGCAGGGACATGCTTTGATACTGTTTGAAAATCAGTTCAAAGTGTCATACATCTGTAGAGCTGAGGATAAGTACCAAAAGACTTGCCAAAGACTTGTACACAGAGCTAAAATTCTTCCTCCTTTTCTACCTCCCTCCTTGAACAATGGCCCCACCATGCACTTTGCTGGAAGGGCTGTGTGCCTCCCACCCGCAGGGTGACCAGCGTGGCCCACCAGATGCAGTTTAAGTCCCTTCTCTACAGCTTACGTTCTTTCCCACAAGGACGTAAATAAATCCTGATGAGCCTAATAAATCGCGGACGTGTGGAAGCAATGACAATGTTCCACACACTGTTATGCAAACCTGTGATGCACAGGGTTTTTACGCGGTGCTTTAATACATTGCATCACTGATTGCTCGGAGCACGCCAAACGCCAGCACTGTCTCTGGTGCTCACAACAGCTTGAGCATGTCACGGTCCACGCGGGGTCACACGGCGCACAGCGAGTCCTGGGCTGGGGCCAGGTCTTGCCGCGCTGGGTGTCACGTCCCCCTGTCCCCATAGGCTGTTCCTGTGAGACTGTGTCCAGAGAGGCCTCCAGCACCTAGCAGAGGGCCAGAGAGGGGTTTCCGTTGACAGTCTCAGTGTCTTGCCATTTTGACAAAAAGTCTTCATGGTTTGGAGGGAATTCTATTGAGAGGTAAGTTGAACGTGTTTCTATGACGGTAAGCATATTTACAAAGCATGCAGATAAAATTACCTCAGTGTGTGTAAAAGTCATTTAGGTTTCTCTGTAAGGTTTTGGTAACTGAATCAAATGCTCCATCTGAGACAGAAATTTAGACAGTAATTCCATGACCAGCTGGAAAACCTGTCAATGTGAATAAAATGACTTACTAAGGACAATAGGAAAATACATGTGCAAAGCATAGTATTATGATTTTATTAAAATCCCAACTATATACAGATAGATTAGTCAACCTTCTCAAGTTACGTCTATCCAAGATTAATTAGTAGGTGCTTAACAACCCTGGGAAAGTTTCATTTTAGAGACTTTCATGTTCACTGGGAAGTATGAGTCTTAAGTTTTAATAAAGTTCCCTGATGAAAGAATTATAAAATTAGTCCTTCCTGCATTCTGCAGCATTGTAAAAGTTAATTAATTCTCTGACATTCAGCAATGTAGCTAAATTACTTCATATACTTGTTTAAGCACAATGTCTATAATCTTCTGATTAAAATAATAACTACCACAATCATCAGTAGTAATTATTATTTACCCATCACCCACCTGTCCCCCACCATCCTGAGTTCCTCTTGGGAGCTGACAAAATTTTTTTCCAGGGAGTTTTAGAAACTTTTTGCTCTAACAGGATAAGGGGAAAAAAGATTACAACTTTTAGGTGTCAGCGTCAGAGTTTATGAACAAAAGTGTACTTTAAAAAAAACCTCTTTATACAGAAGAAAAATCCCAGCAAGCCTTTGTGTATCATAATACCAGCTAATTCACTATCGTTTACCCTGTGGTTCCTATTTAGATTTGTGCTGCTACCATGATTTATTCCTACCTCACAGGATAATGAGTCTAGATTTTATTTCTGTTTTTTGCTCAGACTTATGTAGCAGGGAACGTGTTTGAAAATCAAAGGAAAAGAAGATATTGACTTGGATAATCTCTTCAGAGGTAAAAACAAAAACACTAGCAAAAGAGCAGAAAATACTTTTTGTAGTTCAGAGTGTCTTAGCTGTTGGATTGTGTAGCTTTATCATTGTGGTGGGCAAAGTTTGGAAGAACCTGACCAGGCATCAAGAGACAGTAATACCTTCCACCAGTTCACTGCCTTCACCTTAATTTTCTTTTAAAAATGATGGAAGTAGACTGTCCTCTGGGCGGTTCCCAACCATGACAGGACAGAGCTGAAGCTGTCCATGTCAGTCTCTGGTCTAATCTCTCTCCACCCTCAGAAGGCCAAGGAACCCTGGAGTGCCTCCCACACTGGAAAAGTGGGAGGACTGCGAAGTGCATCTCTTAGTAAGTCAAGCCAGAAAGTCACCGGGGAAGAAAGCTTAACCATCAGAGCTGAGAAATTTGATGGGGGGTAGGAATTGCATGTTTCTAGTTAGCCATGATTCTTTCTGATGGAGGCTCAGTGTAGACAGAATTTTGAGGCTACGTCGTAAGGTATCAAGCTATGAAACACATTTTTCCTTGGCTGTCTTATTTTACTGAGAACATATTGATTTGGTCAGATGGAAACGTTGGTTGTTTGTAATTAATATCTGATGTCTGCAGCCAGAGTGGTCCTACAAACGCATGTCTCTCAGAACATGATGAGGGGTCTGTTTATCGTCCACCCAAGGGAGGGGACACCACGATTCTGCTCATCTCCGCCACACACAGAGAAAGGCAGCTAAGTTGCCCGGATTACTTTGTGCATCCACATCGTTCCCTCTGAGAATTGTCTCTATCTCATATAACCAGAGCTGAAGCCTCCTCTAAATAAATAGCTGATAGTTTAGAAACTGCTCCATATAAATGTCCTCATCCATTTTACCAAGCCTTTTTCTGTAAGCAACACACTTTGGAGCCACATAAGAAGGCTTTTTAAAGAAGTGTTGGTGTTTTAATTCAGATTTTGACACTTTTGGAAATTTCTGCCCAGAGTAATTATGTATGCGTTCCTGTTAAAGCAGATACACAGCCCTGTCGTTCACATCATCAAAGTAGTAATGAGGACCATCCTGACCAAAATAGAGAAGAGCACCGGCAAAACCCATTTGCATAAAGTGAGCGATGGAATCTCTCCCAGCTTGGGCGGGAGGAGCTGATCCTTTCCTGCATCACTTGTCAAAAGTTTACGCCCAGATGCTTGTGTATATTTGTATACTCACTACCCTCTCTAATTCAAACATTTTGGATTCCTGGCCGGGGACGTCCGGGTGTGGGAGGGACGACAGTAACATGGTGGCACATGAATGCTCAGCACGTTTCACTGAGAAAAAGTGGTCCCACTGCCTGGGAATTTACATGGTGTCCTCAACCTCTTCCTACCTGGCCTCTGTCACCCGAAGTGGCTCCTCCTGTACCCCACTAATCCCCATTATTATAATTAAGCACATTTGCTCTGCTTCGAACCTGGATGAGACATAATAATGAGAATACATGTGTCTACTGTGACATTGAATGATTATGTTATAGCTTCTCTTTTTATTTCATAAGCCTATGAACCTAAGTATAATTCCCAAGTCAATATCCCTTTGGGGGCAGGCCATAACTTTGAATTAACGTCTTCTTCATTCCTTGGGAATCTTTTTTTTTTTCTTTTTTTAAGGAAAACGAGCTAAAAAGCTGTGGATTGGATTTTCAGAGATTGTACATACCTGTGATCATATTTCCCTGTGGCTATTGATTTCTTTTTTTTTCTATCTTGGACCTAATTTCAAATTTTATTTGTATCCCCCTTTTATTTTCTAAAGCATTTTCTATATATTTCATTCTCAATGGATATACTTGGCATTTATAAAGAAATATCTTTTCAAAGCACCTTTGTTCCTTTCCAGTATAATTTTTAGAAATTTACCACTCTCTTCTATCTCATAATAATGTATAAAAATAAGATGTAATGACAGAACCTTCTAATACTTTCTAATGATATAAGTTGTTTGAAGGCAGCATGATTACAGGCTACTTGGCTGTAGTACTGACAGGAGGTTGGATGGAGTTTGGCTTCCCGATCCCAAGTTTCTAAATAAGCTTACCGCATGACATGCAAGTGGAAATCACCTCTGTGTCTTTTGTCAGGTAAAATAATGGAGGAATATGGAGGCCCCTTGTAACTGTAGAAATTTCAATGAGAAAGTTTTTTTCTTCTAAAAATATTTCCTATCTCAAACATATCATTAATGATCATTCTTTTAATCCCAACTTTCATAAACCAAACAATTAAAAACAAATTTTGTTAATCTCTCAGAGATTTGTTTCAGATATTATCATTCATATTTTTAGGGGGGGTTGACTTGTATGTAATTATTATTTGGTGATCTCCAGTTAGCTTACTTCCCACACGTGCTGATACAGAACTGTCAATTTTTGAAGTCACTTTATACATGCCGGCCAGGTTCTTCCTTAAGTAAAAATTGTTGTCCAGGCACACAAGAGACTATACCCAGGTAATCCCTGGCACAGGTCAGGAAGAGGCTGTGTGCGGTCCTCTCAGCCCCCTCTACCGGGACCCACTGTGCTGGTTTCACAGGCTGTCAGTTACTTGTGTCCCGTTCTGAATGTTTCATCTATGGAATCATACTCTCCTCTGGCTTCTTTCACCAAAATGTTGGTGAGCTCCACCCAAATTGTGGTTCGATTATTCTCACTGCTGCATATTGTTTGATATGAAAACAACAGTTCATTTATCTATTTTAATACTTACTTTTCAGTTTTGCACTGCTGCCAGTGGTGCCACCAGAAATATCCTGGTATGTGATTGGGTCAATCCATGAATACATTTCTGTTGAATAAATACCAGTGAGCAGAGTATCTGGGTGACTGGGTTTGTACACATCCAGCTTCTGGAGCTGGTAACAAATGCTTTTAGGAAATGGTTGTGCCAGTACACTCCTGTCAGCACAGTAGGAGAACTGAAGGCACGCCACACCTTCGCCGACATGTACTGTATGTTGGTCTCTTGAATTTTAGGCAGTTTGGGGGCTGATGTTGGTATTTAACTATGCTTTGAATTTGCATTTCTCTAAGGCCTCTGAGCTTAACCCCTTTTCATGTTCATAAGCTATGAGTATTCTCTTTTGTGAGTGTCCTTCCGTTTGTTGTTTAGATGTCTTTTTCTTGTTGATATACAGGATTTCCTCATGTAGGAATACTGCATTGGTCCATTGTTGAATTCCACGTTTTCTTCAGTTTGTTATTTACCCTTCACTCTCTTCATGGTGCCTTGGAATGACTATAAATTCCAAATTTTAATATAGTTTATCAATCCTTTCTCTTTTGGCTAGCATTTAATTGTCCTGTTTAAAAATTCTGCCCCATTTCGTGTCCATACATCAAGTAGACATACGTGTCTGCATCTGTTTCTGAACTCTGTTCTCTTCCATTAGTTTATCTGTTATTCTTTTGCCAGGATCATTTGTCTTAATTGCTACACCTCATAGTACACTCTGAGAGCTACGAATGTCACTCCCCAAATATTGTCCTCCTATAAGATTGTCCTGACTATTCCTGTCCCTTTGCATCTCTAATTAGATTACACACACACACACACACATTCCCTAAAAACTATTCTGATCTTAGCTAGAACTGCAGTTAGTCTATAGAGTGATGTCAAGTAAAGGGCCACCATCTAATTCATGAACATGGTATATCTTTGCATTTAATTAGGTACTTTAAAATAATTTCCAGGAGTGTGGGGAATTCCCTTGAGCTAGCACCTCCATCCCAGCGTGAACAGTGGAATGACAGCAAGTCCCCATTGTCTCAGTGTCAGAGGGGAAGTGTGCATAAGCACACCATGAAGTGCGACATGTGATGTAGGTTTTTGGGGTGCACCTCAGTATATCAAGGAAATTGCTTCCATTTCTAGTTTGCTACATTTTTATTTTTGTGGATAAACTGAATTTTACCAAATAGATTTTCTGCTTTTATTTGGGAAATTATATCATTTTTCACTTATTCTGTTAATGTGGTTAATTTTATTGACAATATTTCTTAAGGAATTTTTAAAAAGTACATCATAAATATGAAAAAGTGTGCAAATTACTGTTTTATTCTTCAGTGGATTTCAAAAACAATATTCGTGTACCAGCACCCGCAGCAAGAAACAGACCTTGCTTTTCCTTTTCCCTATATGCATGAATTTCATTTGCTATCATTTAATTAAACATGAATCTCTGAACTGGGCTCAGTTTTCAGTGTACTGACTGTGCGTGGTTATACGAAGCACTGCTCTTTAGTCCTAAGATCACTAGCTGCATAGCAGATCTCATCATGCTCAGTGACCAAGAGCATCACTTCTTTCAGCGTCTGTCTGTGATTGGCCACTGCAGTCTGTCACTCGGTTGACAACACTGGCAGCAAGGCAGGTAGTGTGCTGTCTGCTTCGGCCCCCTCACAAACCAGTGTGACATTTTACACAACTAGACACTCCACACAGCGAACTGGCCAGCACATAGGAAAGGGCAGCAAAGAAAGAATGTGATTAACGTTGGAGGTGAAATTCTAGTCACATCCCAAAAGTTAAACAGTTAAATAAGAAAGCTCACCTCAGATACACCAAACCTGTCACCATTCAAAACACTCAGTGTTCAGCCAGGGACCTGGGCCAGGAAGGGATCACCCACTGGCTCAACGAGGACAGCGGTGGTGACAGACATCAGTGAGGCTGGCAAATAAACAAAATAGATTATCCAATATTTATGACTTGCGAATCGCAGAATACTAATGAAGATCACTCACACTTTTAAAGGTTTGCCTAAAGCTTTCTGTTCTACAGTAAGAGGGACGTGACTACTTTTACCAAAATTATAAAGGTCACAGAAAATACTCAGAGTTTTTCCCACTTATTACTAAGCTCAGTATGCATGGTTTGGGGTCGCATAGTCAGTTTGACAGCCCCGCACTGTGCTGTTGAGGGAGAACTGCCTGTTTTATTCAGGACATTTTCAGATACATTCAGA